CTACCCTAGGCAACCAAATTTTTGTAAAAACAAATTAAAATTGTATAACAATATTTTACAATTTAACTTTCAGATTACAAAACTGAATTCCCTAAAACCTTGCAAACGCTTTAATCTTATCGGAAACATGGTGAATCATTAATAAAAATTTATCCGTTTACGACACCTCTAAAAACTGATAACGTCATTTCAAAATTTTGCCAAATAAATCCTATCCAAGATGTGCAAAATATGATGAATCTGTGCTTGTGATTTACGATTTTATTCATAGAATTGCTTATACAATCGATTAAAAAAATTGATGAATGAGTCGAAGATTTTGGAAAACAATACTGTTATTATTTCGTATTACACTGTACCTATCCAAATTAATATACGTGTCCTTCCGTCCTTGCAAGAATGTTGATGACGTCACCACAAAATTTTGTAAATAATGAGTAAAAACTCATTTGAAACATACGCGAAGCACGCTTCTTTATATTTATTTTAACATTACATACATACATATGTTTGTTTCAACTTATAGCGGTTCTCATAAAAAAAAAATTATCCGCAAAATCAAATTTTATAATTTTTCGAAAAAGATGGATATGTTTTATCGTAGTTCAGGAGCGAGGAAAGTTCGGTCGAAACAGCCTTCGACCAATTTTTTTTATCTCATGTAACGTGCAATTTTTTTCTTTGTATGTAAGTATCCACCACTGGCACTATTCTAGGTTGTTTATTCAGTTTTATAATAGTGCACAACACCTAACAAAATGTTAATTTGTTACCAGTTTTGCTTTTATTTAGTATTAGTTACATTGAAAACGAACAAAGAGGTTACGTCGATGCTGAGGGCAAAATGCCATTTCAGACGACATAATGAAATCAAAACTAAACATTTGTACTAATTATCTTCACCACAACACAAAGAAAATTAACGAATGCTTAAAGACATATTTAAACAGTTTCCCCAAATTAAAAAAAAAATGCTATGAATTTGGTGATTTGTCATGGAAGTGTCTAGTACTAGTTTAGATAAATATATGCATAATTGTGTAAGTAAGTACATTTATTAAGTTAAAAATAGAACTTCTTACTTTGTGAATATGTTAAATTTTGATTTTATATTTTAGTCCTACTTGTTTTTTTGTTCAATATACTGTTAAAATATTATAGTATATTATATCGTCCACACTTTTGCTGAATTTAGGTTTTTTGCTCTGAAATTATTTCCCTTAAAATGTTTGGACGAGTAAAATAACGTTAAACTACAACTTTTAACTGGTCATATTTTTGTTCCCACGTTTTTCTCCTTACCAATAATTTATTCACCTTCTTCAAGTGAATATATTACAACATTTTAAGGTGAAAATAAAACCTATTTGAAAGTTTAAAAGTTGGCACGAGGACTTTTAATGTGTTATTCTGCTGTAAATTATTATATCATTTTAACAATACAAAGCTTAACGTCGTTTTAAGTTGCAAAAATCCACTCCAAAATCAAAAAACAGATGCACTGCTCGTGTGAAACTTATATGAACAAACTAGGCCCTATTAAGTACATGCCCATTTTATCAAATTAATACAAAAAACTATACTTAAACTGAATAAAACCTAAAAATCGCATATACATACCACATATTTACACTTCTATTCAACCATAACAATTCTACAACACTCGACGAGAACTGAAGTTTAAATTTAGAGTATATTGTAAGACCGACTTCTAAAGACGTGGTTTCTAGCTAATAGGAACGGTAGATTTGTTACGTTACGTGCAGCATCTTTGCGCCCACGCCAACACCTATCACTGCAGTGCAATAATTTATTTTAAATTTCTTGTTACACCTTGAAGCTTCAAAAACGTTGGCAAAACAATCTCCAGAAGTAAATACCCCTCTATTTTAGATAAGTTGATAACTATAAACTGTAATATGCTAATGTTTAAATTTAAGAATTTACAGATTACTGGATCATCTGATGTGCTAATATTAGGCGCTCACTAATCTTATGGAAATATTTCTCTATCCCACAATCTTAACCTCAGTAATTTTCTCTGTTGTATAATTTTAATTGAACGTAAATTTCATGCTCTCCAGTTTTAACCTCACATAATATTTTTATTTTGCACAAGTTTATTTCACACCACATCTTTTGTTTTTATAAAGCTTTGCTAGTTTTGTTTTGTAAATATTTTGTTGATGAAGGTTTCCATGATATAAATTATCTGATGTCCAATTTTAAATCGCACATAAGAATTATTTGTTGTTTAAAATTTCACAGGATTGTATGGCGAATTTAAATGTTGTTTAAATCCAAGTGACATTCTTCTTCTGGTTCTGTTATGTTTATAGTATTTGCATTCTATAAAAGGGTGTTCTCGTGTAATGCTATGAAAACTTGCTTGTATGATTCTCTCACCCCACAATAACCACTTAGTAAGTTAGTAACCAGTCTTCATACGTTGTTTCTTGCCATTAGTGCTTTTTGTTACAAGTTCCGTAGTTTAGTAGTTCTGTCTACTTAACCGATTACACATGCTACGCCGTGCTATTTTATTACCATTGAACTACTAACATATCATTTAGCACAGTAGCTCGTCGTTTTACAACATCAGGGAGTCAAGATAGAGTAAAACACGTCGCCTATAAAAACTGGCGCCCGAGTTCGACATCCATTATAACATGATAATTTGTTTTTACAGTCGTAGCCCAAGCGTATTTTAAAAAGTTTGAAAGAGGCAAAACACAATTCACTTCAGGAGGTTACTGGGGTCTTCACCATTCGAATAAAAACACTGAACGCCGACTGAATGCTAACAGCATTCCGAACTTTTAGGCTAATTAAGAAATAAAGGTAGAAAACTTCTCATCCACTGGTAAAGTTTATCACAATAAAAATCCGTCGTCAGCTCTTCCTAATCAGCATCATATAAGATCAGTTTGTGTATTGTTCGTTAAAGACCGACACAATCCTGATATGTAATATATTGTGTTACAATCACCATAGTTTACGCAGGTGCTTATTCGATTCGGGAACGACCTACCAACGACATCTATCAAGAAGCACCATACTGTCACAAATTCACCCTCAAGATTCTTTTATGTGTTGTTTTCTCTTGTCGAATCAAATGTACGGACAAAACCCCGTCAGTCTGTATAGGGAAATGAAAATCCGAAAATAAGTCTTCACCCGTACAAAAACATCGGAACTCAATTCCGTCTAGATACAGAAGATGAATCATTTCTTTGTACTGATTTTTTTTTTTATTTGATCCAGATTCTGTTCCACCAACATTTGGATCAAGAATTGAGTAAATCAAATTCTTTGTGCTGCAGAATTTCGCTGAGCCTAAGAACTATGCGGCAATGAGAAGGGGATATAAAATTCAAATACACATAACGATCAGTACCAACTTAACTGCGAAGGTGATGGAAAACGTAGCCTCTGGGGTAGCGGCATTCTTTAAATCATAGCGAAAACGATGAAAAGCAGAAAGGACGGGAGATGTAGCACTCCCTACAGAAAACCTGACCGAGTCTCCAGGGCTCTATATATGTTTTGTCCCAAAGGTTCTTTTTACGGGCAGCATTTATTCTAATCTGTTGAACTAATCTTTTGGATCCATCATTTCGTAATTTATAATTATGGATTCATTCGTATTGAGAACATTGTATTTAAATCATTATTTCCCTATCTAGTTCATGAGCTAATCAATCTACGTCTGGCCCGATTAGACAAAGCAACCAAATAACGCAACAGAGATATTCACATGCGGGTTCTAACCTAACACCCACCTGGTGGTGCCTCTGAGCCACAATTACACTGGTATAATTGTCTGCGGTTACTTACCTCGAAAGGTAAAGTAGCACTCTGACGGCTACCGCTAAGTAATCAGCGATGTTGATAGTTGAATTTTTCAAGAAACGTGTACCGGACGAATAGGCATTACACGATACATGATGCAGCAGACGGCGGATACTTACCATGTGTAATATGTATGACATAAGTTACACTGGAGAAAATGTTGCTTACCAAGATAAATTTACCCATGGTTATTTAATACACGATTTATGGAAGTAAGGAAGAGTTTGCTTCCAGTCTGTTCAGGGAGGATATCCTCAAAGGCTGCTTTAAGTTCTAATACTGCCCAAGTATCATATGATGTATATTAATCACGTGATTTAGTGATCAATAGCAAGTCTGACGTCAGTAGCTGCACAATTTATTTTATTATGAGTTGGTTTATATGCGTCAAGTGAGGAAAAGTGTTCAGCACCATGTCGCTTCACTTGCCGGGCGAGAGCTCCCCCAACCGAGTTACCCGGTCGTACGTATCTTTCCTCACTTCCATCTATTTAATATGTGCCGCCAAATATCTTCCTAGGGTGTCCCTGGAAACTAGCCCAATTTTGCTCGAATTCACTACGTACTCACCCACAACACCAATGTCAATACATTCAGGAAACACACCGAGATCAAATATTTTCTTAAGTAGGCATCATGGGTATCAATGTGCCTAGGACAATGAACAAATTCCGACGAAGTTAAATCAAAGGGTACGTCGGCAGGAAACTTTACAAAGAATTAACAAATTTTTAAAGGATAACTTGGTTTGGCTAGGGTTCTTTAAAATTGAAACATTCTTATTTTTACGGTTATATAATACTTTGGTAGATTATAACGTTTTCAATATTTTTATATGATACCAAAAGATGTTTATCTTTCAATAATAACCTTATTTCATATTTTAGAATTACTTACCCACGTGGTATTGATAGTTCTTACAAGGCGAGGGAAATTAAGTAGAATAACTTTTTATGCATTAGTGTCACAGATCTCCAAAAACTCCACAAAAACGTTTTTAAAATCAGTTTTAAAATAATGTACTTTACACAGTTTCACTAAAGACGTGCAAGGTGCAGACATGAACTAACCGCAACAAAATTGAAAATTATTTTATGACTGTAATTATGTAGCGTGACACATTTTTAGATGTTTTCAGTAAAAATACATTTATCTAATCCAGTATTTATTGGGCTGGAGAAATGTTCAACCACAACATAGCAGGCCAAACAGTAAAGTATTAATACAATATATTTACAGAAACAGACACAGCTACCGCACATGCATCATTCATGTGACATGTAGCTCTAACACTGGATTATAGTACGAAATCGTGCTTACAGAGTAGTTTAATTTCTTGTAATAATTATCACGGCCACTCTATAAACACAATACAAAAAATGACACCGGTTATACAATCCATATCTGCGACACAGAACAGGTACCTATAAAAATATATACATAATAAGGCAAATAAATAATACATAAAAGGGAAAGAATATTAAAATGCTCTGTCCACTCTAAGGGTGATGCGAGAAATGCGATTATGCATTTGTTTTAAAGCGGACGGCTCCTGTTTACCTATTTCACTTTTTTAATCTAGAGATTATTGTGATGCTATTATTAAGACATAATCAAACACTGGTTTCAACCAAAATAATTTCAACGTGTACAACATATTCATTAATTCGTTAGATCTGAAAATGACACTTCTTTGTCATGGTGAACTCAACTGATGTAAACGATCCATGCACAAGTCACTTCACATCAGTTCAGGTCACTTAGAAAAGTTCAATATTACAGTTAAAAAAGTGGCTTTTTCAAAATCTACAAGGTAATAAATTAAGCATCTTACTTGAAACTAAAGAGGAGAAATTATAAACAATAAATACATATATAAAAATATAATGTACAATTTTCACTTAACTGTAAGAACTACTTAATGTAAGCATTGTTTCATAATTTGATTATGGTTTGTTAGTAGTAATAAACTGCAAATCATAAAACTTACACATAGTAACAAGGTTTATGGGTGATTAAAATACCTGCTGCGTAAAATTAAACAAGTCCTAATTAAAATATGGCTTGCTCATCTCGAGCAAATTCGAAAAATGGCAAGTACCCATCATCAAGTTAATATTAATCTTCTCAACTAATAAGAATTATTATTTTGGTAAACTCATTATAAATATAGTATTAAGACCATATTTTATGAAACAAACACTACATATAACAGCCACTCAATAGAAATGTAAACTGGTGAATTAAGAAGACTAATACGCAAATGACTTAAAACATACTACCAACTGCACTCAATGTTCACCTCAGAAACGAAACAAACACGCACTGAATAGTAACGTGATGAAACCCATAATGGATATATTTCCAGCATATCACAGTACCAAAAAAATAAACGCTTTAAAACGAATGGTACATTTTATTGTCGTTTAACTGTCAGCTCTTTAAAACATTGACTAGAAATACAAAACTTGTAAAGGTGTCGTTCTATATTTAAATGATTTTATTTTTATAAGACCCGCAATATATTTTGGATAAAGTCTAAGCTCTATTTAATTACATAACTAATTAGACAAACATTATTGAAAGCCCAATTTACGTTATGATTTTTTTTACATAAATTGAATATGTGTTAGTACAAATTTTAAAGATTAGGCTTATTTATGGTGCCATATCGTATGCTAGTTTAAAAAAGGCATTTGAAAAATATTTTATATATATTACGATTATATTATCATCTAGGAATCAATACCAGTTATAACATCGGTCTATGATTATTATTTTTTTACATAAAAGAAGCGTTAGTAAAAATGTTTCTCATCTACATTTTTCTCTCAACTTGAAGCTACGTACATTTATACACATCTCATTCGATTTCGATGTTGGTCCTTTTTATATTATTAATAATTAATTTGATATAAAATTTCCTGTTACCGATGACCGCTTCTTAATCTATTACTTTTCTTGGTAGGAGACGCTTTCTGGATCTTCGTCTGTTCTTTCGACTCTTGTTCCAAATCTTTATCCAATTCAGCCATAGCTTCTTGAATGGCTTTCTCCAAGTGCGAATTCAGTTTGCGAGATCTGTGCAAATGAGAGACGTTATGCATTTAAAAATACATAGAGAACGTTAACAATGATAGGATGAATTATGATTTCTCATTAACAAAGATCATATTCAGCCCTACAACATATTATTTTTATCTATAGCAACAACACTGCGGTAAAAGTAACGTAAAAAAAAGCACATATATTATAGTTTTTTTTTTTGACATATAACTATTATTATTTAGTAACATTCAATGTCTTGTAAAAAAATGTGGGTGTCGTGAGTAATAAGAAATGTCACTAACGAACTGAGCAAAAATTAAACAGAACTTGAAAACATACCTCACTACATATTTTAACTTGAACATATCATACCTACACTTTAGTGGCAAGTTATAAATATTAAATTTGGTATAAATTGCACACCAACATAGTCGCACAAAAAAGGGTATTCACAATACCGAATTATTGGTTGAAATTTTATGGTGAGCGAAAAATCTGTATTTATTTTTATACAACACATGTTAATGTTGTTATTATTAAGTACAGGAGTTTTCCACTCAAAAACTGGTAGGCGCAAGTAAACGATAAAATTGACGTAGCCGATAAACTTCACAACTCGTCACGACTTACCAAAACGTCACATTTTAATAATAATATAAATAAATAGTAGTAAGAAAGAACCAGTATAACAAATTATCTATCCAACTTATTTTATTCGTCCCAACAACCTGCTAAATTTTCATTTAGGGACTTAATGAGTATATTACGTTTTCTATTAAGTTTACTGAACGCTAAAGGCTTGGTATCAACGAGATAGAAATCGTTCCATTCTTATGCAAGATCACTCTCTGACAGTAACTTTCAATCTGAGATTTTCTCAACAATAATACCACATAAATGCCCTTAGCAAACTGATTTATTTTTCCTCTTGCAAAGCTACCTTGGAAACGACAGTTATTATAGTCTGCGCAATTTATATAAGTCTTACCTCAACGGCGTCAATTATTAATACTTAAAAAGTCCTATACCTTTTAATAATACTTTTCTTATGTATACACACATATAATTTTGATCTTGTATCTGTCATAGGGTTGAATAAATCGTGATGATTTAATATGAATACTAATGATGTGGCCAACTCACGTTCTGCACTTTTTTCGCGCATGGTGATGAGCATCAAGACCTTCTGTGAGTGTCTGCAAGGCACCTTTGTCTAATTTTGTAACTAATTTGTCACTTCCAAACCACTTAACAGAAACATCATTTCCGTTTACTTCAATTATTTTACCCGGCCAAGCTGGACTAGTTTTAGATGGACCCCAAACCAAATCACCAACAACAAAGTTGTGGACTGTCTGTGTTTCAGGTTTTTCGTTATCTAAAGATCAAATCAAATACACAACCTTAATTCTAGATGATCTTACTGATTTTAAATATTTGCGAAAGCTGTACACCTTCCAGTAATGAATGGGATCTATGTACAAATGGCCAAATATGTATTAAATGATAAGGGATGAAAGTGAATTATTTACAAAATTTCACACACACCACTTGTTAATTTTGTTTTGTACACTATTAATCATGAGTTTTGGTTAGCCACACCATGTAATATTCCACACTGTGTTTACGTGAAATGGAACAGCTATAGAAGGCGCTGCCAAAGAACGCTGTGCTCTTTGCATTATTTCTTTTTTTTTCTCGTTACGAGTTCAGTGAATCAGATTGCAACAACTCCATTACATTAATATACACTAATAATAATGTACACCCTGCATCAACGTATTTAATGACAAATGAGCAGATGTCATGCATTACGAAATTCGAAAACATCTCAACAAAGGTGAAAAACCCCAGCGCAAAGCGAAAAAGCCAAATTAATATTCTAATAACTACCTTCTTCTTCATCAAAAAGGGATGAATGCATGTGATGGGTTTCCATGACTAATAAAGTATCGCTGCTTTTTCGTTTCTGGATGATCTTATCAAAATTGTGTGAACTGACAACAGCCTCTTGCGCTTTCACTTGATCACCAATAAACTGTAATCCAGCCATCATCGTGGAGGATTCAGCATACGCCAAATGCGTTGGAGTGTTCTGTTTTTTAGTGAACTGCATTTGGCCACTTGTTACGTCGGAAAGATCAGTTTTCTGAGGGGCACCGAGTGAAGTTCTCGACCAGTCGTGTTCTGAACCTTGGGTGTTTAAATCGGCGGAATCGGGTTCACTACTGGATATGCAATGTACCATCGCCTAGAAAAAAGAAGAAAAATTACAAACCTTTATTCACATTCAACCATGTGTTCTATGTCATCGCGATAATGAATAAGCTTTTCATCCTGTCGACACAATATGGGGAGTTGCAAACAAAACAATGGCGAATGGACAAAACTTTAACTTTGTTTATTATAATGGTCAATAATAGTAGATATCAACATTTCAAAAGTTTGGTACAAAGCTGACGGAAATGTGTGGGACGTTCGTATCAGAGAACTCGCTGCTATGAATCTTCAATGTATTATTGATTATTGGAACATATGTTTGGAGTTTAAGTACTAAGTATTCAGAAAAAAAATACAAAAGTGCACAATAAGCATTGTTGTTTCAGTATTGCTGCATCAGATAAATATCTTCAATCTAATGCCGACCCTAAAGTGCTAATCTATATAAATTGACACACAAAACCTCATAAACAGCCACAAAAGATAAAAATATTAACTAATTCAAGAATTCAGGAAATACTTTACATATACAAATTGGCTGTATAACAATGTTTTATGTATTTTCTAAATAAAATATACATTTACCATTGTACAGGACGCCTGTCTCCCCACTGCGCTGTCACATGTAGCAGAGCAATTTGAAGGAGCTGGAGATAAACCATCATCGGTACTTCCAGAATGGGTAGTGGTATCAGCAGTTGGCGGACTCTGTCCTCCTGAAGCCAACGGACTATGCGTGGTAGTATCTGGTGGACTACCAGCGGACAACGTCGATGTTTGGCAGAACGTATTCGTCGTAACGGTCTGGGCATTCTGATTTACAGCAGTTTGTGTGGACACCGAATGCCTATAAGAATTCTGTGGGCTTTCTCTCTGCACCAATAACGCTTGAACCTGCTTATTGTCGTTCGAACTGATAATAAAATTTTGATCAACGTTCAGCGTCGTTCTGTTCTGATTATTTTGGTTGTTGCCTTGGAAATTCTGCAACTGCTGACTGTTGGAAACCATTGTCGTTTGTTGCTGCACGATCGTGGTGTTCTGTTGAACAAACGTCGTATTCTGTTGGTTGGAAGAAGATACCGCTATGTTCGCCGCCGGCGCGCACGGCACCATTAACGTTTGCCCCATTTGGCCACACTGGATGAATTCCTGCTGAGCCTGCGGGGGACGTATCTGTGGTGTGGATGTTCCGAAGGTGACCTGCTGCGAAGGACTCACACTCGCCACCAAAGGACTTAATTGACCACTGAATTGTGTCCCGTTAACCACGAACTGACCACCATTCGGAGATAAAAATTGTGCACCGGGACTGTGTTGTTGCTGCTGGATGATCTTCCCCTGAGATGTCGACGGTGCCCTTATAACCATGCCTGCTGGACTCGCCGCTAAAATACTTTGTCCACCATTAAACATTCCATTGTTCTGTACGGGTGTCAGCACGTTCTGTCCGTTCACGTTCTGCAGCTGTAACTGCATTCCGATATTGGATGTATCCTGTAAGAGGGTTGCAGTACCGTCAGGATTCATGACCATTCCACCGAGATTCGGAACGATGAATTGTTGTATGGTAGGGAAATTTTGGACCACACCCGCCGTACCATTAATGAGATTAACAGGTTGCAAGAGATTAATCTGTTGGGTGGGTTGTGAATTGGCGATAAGCTGTTGTGTCCCGATAGGGCTGGTATTCGTCATAGGCTGGCCGTTCATCACTATCTGTGGCGGCCCGCCCGTTTTACTGGGAACTATAGTTAAAGCTTGCATCACTGGACCCGCAGCCAGGCCCTGAGGACTATGTGCCATTTGTATCTGCTGCGGAAAACCTTGTTGAGACATCACGACACCGGAATTTTGTTGCGCGGCGATGTGTAACATATTGGCGACCGTCTGTGAAGACATTTTTCGTTTCTTTCCTTTCTTTTTGTTCTCGGGTGAAAGGAGAGCAGCAGTAGTTCGACGAGGATCAGAATTGTCCAGTTGGATTTGTTGTTGGATAACATTTCCGGCAACTAACTGCGGTAACTGCATGTTCTGTCCCATAGCCATGCTACCATCCATGGTCATAGCAACGCCCGACTGCAAGACGAAGGGTGTAGGTAAAGCGTTCACCAAGACCGTTTGTTGTCCCAAAACTTGCTGCGCTACAGCTGGAATGACCTGACTCACAGCCGCCGTAACATTGGTGATCATAGGAGAAACCGATATGGGAGGCATTGCTCCTTGGTTCGAGACCAATTTGGGAGGTGGGGGAGGCATAACTCCTGACTGACTGTTACCAGTATTGGCCATAATTAGTTGACCCCCAGAAGAGACCAAAATGTGACCAGGAGGTAAACCTGTGGGCGAATGTTTGACGATTTGCGACGGTGATATTTGTTGATTAGTTTGAGACGTAGAGCATACAGTGTTATAGTTCTGGGAGTGAGGAACCTGGATGCTACTGACGACACTTTGTACCATTTCTAGTGGTGATTTTGAGACGTTCACAGCCACTGGATTCGCTTGAATTGGATTTCCTTGACCGATGACCGTAGTCGGTGTTGTTGAAGCGGGAAGATTGGCAGGACTGTTGATCGAAACGGTAGCTGTATTGGCTCGACCAGCGAGGACCGAAGTTATCGTATTGCTACCAACAGTTCTGCCACTAGCCATAGTAGTCACAACTCCGGATGTATACGGACTAGCCAATTTGGAATGAGGAGGCATCGAACAACACATTTCATTCTTTGGTTGGTAATTGACGGAACTGCAGATCTCCCTCGACTGATTGACTTGTTGAACCTGTCCTTGCTGATTGTACACTGCAAAGGGCATGCTGTCGTTTCTTTGAGGAGGTGTAGGGGTATGAGAGTTCGGAGTAGGAGGATCGGACTGAGATCCATCCATAGGTGACACATTGCTGGTACTGACTGTACCGCCTTGGATAGGCCTCGAATCAGGCGATGATATCCCGATTTGTTTTTCAGAATAGTTTGATGACGTAACAGGATCGTCATTGACGCCTCCTCCGGAAGAACTCGGCGTTCCTGGCTGGCTATTGGGTCTTGATTGGCCTTTATTTTGTTGAAGATTTGACTGTCCACTGTCGCTAACACAACCTTGACACTGTACATGGTCGCTACTGTCGGCTACGTTCTGTGCCATTATTTGATTATATTGCTGTGACATAATAACGTTTTGAGGAACTTGTTGGGCTTTAACTACGTTTAAACTTTGATTGGTTCGATTTGTAACGTTTTGTGTTTGTTTCATATGAGATATCACCACGTTACTTGGTAAAGGCACCTCGTTTGTTTGCGAATTTGGTACAGGTGGTGTTAGGTTGTGAGTTTGTGGATTGTGTGACGATGTTATCGGGCTACTGCAAACCATTCCTGTACATGCATTAGCTCCTGAAAAATTGGAAAAGTCAGTTTTATTGAACGACATTATAACACGAGAATAAACGCACGTCGACAAAAAAAAAAGGATAATACTGACCTGTTTGACGATTAATGGTGTTGTTGAGGAGAGCTGTTTGCTGCGCGAGATATCCGCTGGGATCCTCCATGAAAGATGGACTCGCCGCGCTCTGACTATTCTGGGGTAGATGATTTATAATGACCGGCCTGCCATTTTCTCCGGGTATTTGTCGCACATCTATATTGGGACATGGAGCATGTAATGATGGACACTCCATCATATGGTAAGATCGATTTTTAACGATTTTACCTAGTTTAACTTTCTTCCTCTTAATCTCGTCCTGCCACATCGTCGGCGGCGGTGTGTGCTGGTGTAGTGGAGGCACTCTTTCGTACGCGTTATTCGGCGACTGAGAACTCTGAACCGCCATCTGCTGTTGGTTCATGTTGTTGGCTTGGATTCTCGGCCACTGTATCTTTTGCTGTTGATTGTTGATCATAACAGGAGCTTGCACGATTTGATTATTTTGGGGATTGACCATATTTTGCGGCCTAAACCCATTCATAATTTGATTATTGCCAGGTAAGAAGGCGGGCCTCATTTGTTTCGAAGCATCATACTGTTGTATCTGTGCATATGGCGCTTGGTTATTATAAAAATGCGGATGCAGTTTATTCTGGCCTTCTGGCCTCTGCTGCTGATGATTCGCGACACCTACCGGTATCATCTGGATATTGGGCCGACCGGGACCACTGGGTTCACTGGGCTGACTATTTATGAATACTCTATGCTGATGCGACTGTGTAGGAACCACATTTTGACCCTGTATAACGACACCATTATTCGGACTCGTTATCATCGAAGTGTTGACGATTTGATTCGATGACGCCTGATTCGAATTGATAGGTCCCTGTACGCTAATCACTTGTCCGTTCGGACCGATAATATGTTGCGGATGGTGGACGTGAACGTTCGAATTTTGCTGAGGACCCGTATTCTGATGGTTCTGATGAATTTGCTGTGATATGTTGGTCGGCGTCGATGTCTGCTGCACCATCATGGTGCTGCCGTCGCCCACCACCAAGGGCGAATTGCTCAAGATCCTGTTGCCGGCATGCTCTTGACCCTGATACCTGACGATGTGCTGGTTTTCGGGATAATTTTGAAGGCGACCGCTCAACTGAGAACTGCTGGTTGGAGACTGAGGCCACACCTGCGATAATAACAGTTAGTTATTTCTGAAATACGCACAATGAAAGATTGACAGTGTAGACACAGACCTGAGGTTGATTTCCGAGACCTTCCTTGTTGAAATGCTGGCTCAAGGCGAGTTTGTCTGGACGAGTAAAAATTTGCGACAAAGAAACACAACCACCATAAGGCATGCCGATTTTTCTTTTGCTTTTCTTAGTGGTGCTGCAATCTGAAACAAACCAATTCTTTTAAAATTCTTTCGAAACGAAACAGACGCGAAGATTTTACTTACAAAAGCAAGAATAAAGTGTTTAATATATGAAATTGCCTTTTGCGGTTTTAAAAAAACGTGACAAGAATAGTGATATTAAAACAATGTATTTAAAAATAATCCACAAGAGCTCACAACAGAAACGTTTCTGACACGGAAAATAACCTGTTCAGCTCAAATTCAAAAAGCTACGCAAGGCGTATTCGTGAGCTATCAATCTCTCATCCTTGACACTTCGTAATAACACCGATTACTGTGCCTGTGAACATCGTGAAGTCGCCGTCTTTATTGGTATTTTTGAAATACTGAATTCAAATTTAGAAATTATGCGACCATAACGTGATCAATAAAATGCGATACGATTCACGTTTCTGCAAAATTTTCTTCGTTATTTTTATAACTGTCACACTTATTTAACAATATTTTACGAAATTTATTAACACAAGTACTGACATGGCTCTTGACTCACTAATAAAGCTTCGATGTCCTTTTTGATCTTCTAGCCCGTCAGACTTTATTTCATATTGCAAAGTGTTAAAGCTCAACTCAAAACGCTTCTACCAATTCCTTATTATTTCAGTTACTATGAATCAATTTTAAATGTCACCATTTTTAGCTGTATTCATTTAATTAAATGTGAGCTAACGTACGAACACACTTCTAAAGGTGCATATTCCATTAGCAAACTTTACTTACTAACCGAGTCATTACAAACGTTTGCTGCTTGCCAGAAGATAGCTTTCTCTAAAATACGACATTGAATTGTTTGAGGTACAACAATTGCTTATTCAAATTGTTCTTTTTCTTAAAAAAAAAAACAATCGCTGTAACTGAAACGAGTTAGGTAACAGACGATTTATTATGGGAGTTACAAGGCATGAATGGAAGAACGATAATCTATTCAAAAACACGATCTATTAAATTTGACAGCCACCATAAACTAGTTGTTAAATTAATGAAGCGTGCACTGGCATATCTATCCACGTGCATTTCTGTAATTTACTTAGAAGGTTTACAGAGCACATTGAGCCAGCTAATGGCCACAATATAACCGGCAGAGCTTGTATGCATGATACGGTTCGGTCAGGGCAATACATTAACCGCAAATAACACGGAAAACACACAACATTACACATGTCACAGATGTTTACAACAATGGACTACTACATTACCGACATTGTGCTTCATTCGTTCGGGCCGGTTCATTTATAAGACTATAGCGACTAGAATGACGATTAAAGTAATGGGCTCTCGGGACATCACGGCTTGCACCGAGAAAAGGCATCTGGGAATACCAGAATTATTGTAATTAAATTTTGGAGAAATAACAGGTCTCCGGCGATTCGAGTCGATCCGGATAAATCTTTCATGAGCACCGGTTACAACAGAACGAGACATATTTATTAGCGTGTACAAGATCGATTGCCCACATTTACAGAACAGGTATGTTTATAAGACGAAGGTATATTACCATTAATATTAATGATTTCCAAATAAGAACGAGCAGCCTCGTAAAATTTTACGACAGCAAGCATTGTTTTCGATAATATTTTAAACACATATCTATATACAGCATCGACAGCTACGTATTTATTAAAGGTTTTTGTTGTGCAAATTGCGAAGACAACTGCGAACGTGTCAGAGTTTAAGTTGTTGGGCATAAACATGCCAACATCATCATACCGTATACACACAAAAATCCAATTCTCTGCATTCAATTTATTCTCAGTGTCTTTCACACAAAAAATAAAATCGACGTGCATATTCCCACTAGAGCGCATTTTTCTGTCGAGTTGTTATTAAATTGTAAACGTTGACTCTTTTATTTTCGTTTCTGTTATTTTCCGGGCTGCAACACTAATAACTCCAATTTCGTTTGGATGAAAAATCTTTCTCCGTAAAAATGACGAGTTCGTTAAATATTAATTGCGTCAATGTTTCATGCTTCGTTTGTATTTCATACGCATTACTCAAAACTAAATTTTCATATAGGATTAATTGAATATCGATCTTGATTAAAAACGAACATAAAACAACAATGGGCAAAATTAAATTGGGAGCTTGTTGGGAAATATTCAAATTAATTGTATAATTTGATGATGTAAACCGACGGCGACTGTTGTAGCGAACAGAAACATAATGTAGGTATGAAATTTAATTACGTTCGTCCCTGATAACATTTTAATTAAGCCTGTTTTTGTGTTGTGTGCATTTATTCGAAACACAACTTTTATCACAGCATAACAAAGGAACCCCCATTGGCATCGGAGCAATTTCATATATTTCTTCCATAGACCTTCGTCCGTATCAAGGGTTGCGGAAAAAATGTTTCATTACCTGATATACACACTCCAGAAAAACCCCGTCAAAAGTCAAAACAATAAAATCCTCGCAGCACATTGTAATTTCTACAAGAATGTCAACACCGAGAAAACGAGTAATTTCGGATAGTCACGTTATTTCATTTTATGCAATTACAAAAAACAAAACCACTTTAATCACCAATTTAGGACACAAATGTGCACTTTCTGCTGCTTGTCAGTTAAAACTTTTAGCAGTTTCAATTACGTTGACACAATACAATATACTTAAATTAAGAAAATGCTTTCGCAACTTGTTACAAAGTAAAATTAAATTTGACTGTAATGGAGTTTTAACTTGTTCAGTGTAAAGTTGAAATAAGTTGGAAAATTACAGACCTCGGTGTTCGTACTTTTCACGAAATTGTCTTGCGGCGCGCGTTCATTACGTTACGCTGTTGACACTTTTTTTTTAAACTGGAATTATTAGATCTTCTTAGTATTTTTCAAACAACAATAAAAAATTCATCTTCTAACAATTCAAAGTAGCCATTTATCATTGACGCACATTCGTTGGACAACAACTCGCTTGAATATTCTACATGTGTGGAACAGTGTTCAAAGCCAAGGCCGTTGGGTTGATTACACCTTTGCAATGCCAATCTACCATGTAAAATAAAACATTCAAATCTAACATGCTGATCGTTTAATGCATAAATTATGTATCTAAATTTATAGATTTGTGCAAAACACTGATCGTTAAATGGAAGCATTTACTACATTCCAATGTTTTTTTTTTTTTTTCAAACAACAAATTAATTATATTCGTCGAAACACATTGACGTTTTTAACGTTTTGCGCCCTCTTTAGATAACCGTCAGCTTAATGCAGAATTGTCGTTTGCATACAAATTGAAAGCGGCAAAAGTCTGCTTAACGCTTGAATATGAAAAATTTAAATTTCCATTTAATGTGCTTCTGCTTTTAACAGGTCTCTTACACGAATTAACTCCATACTCTGTATCTGAAATAACGGAAACATAAATTGAAAACAGGCACCGAACGAAATTACTATTTACTCTCGACTCATAATTCCTTCATTAGCCATAAATTAAATATTCTAATTACTGTTTTTTAATGTTATCTATCAACCGGATTGTTAACTGGGTAATCAAAATTAATTATTATCAAGGCTCTTAAGATATCTTAATTTGCTTACTATTGTCGGCAGTACATAATACAAACAACGTATAATACGCTAGCGACGCAGTATCAACCATAAAAATCCGAGATGTTTTGAGCTTAATAAAGGGATATTTGCAATAATTATTGTAATAAATAACAATGCCGGCTGGACATTTTTAACTATGCTGTTGGAATAATTTTTATCGGTCTGCATTCACGGTAGAATGACTTTCAGGCACGCCATCAGCCTCCGTACTAACAGTGAAAATACTAAGTTAATACTCCATTGTGGTTTGATATCAACTGTTATCTCATTAATTAAATTAAAGGAATTGCCACAAATTTGGCACGATTACATGCTAGCAAAAAAGAACATAATTATGCCCCCACCTTTCACTTAATGAGATACGTCAACAAATAAAATTTCATCAGATGCATTCTGACAACAGTCACTAAATTAATTCCATCACCTGTCTGACCGAATGAAACATTTAACAGTAGCCAAGGACCGAAAAATGAGTACTTTTTATATGAAAACGAAAATAATTACATTAAATTAATTCACCGAACATCACCTGCCGGCCATTTCAACCAATACAGATGGGTTATTCAATGTTTAGAACAACCCCAATCTGTTGGTGCGTGTTTTTGGACTCAACCATAAATATTTTAACACTGGCGGCATAAAAACGATTTAATCATCAGTAGCGCTGTAAATGTTTACGGATTACGTTAACAACAATTAATTAAGGATATGCAAGTGTGGAATACCAATGTAAATATCACACACAATTAGCTGTTAGTGCACAGTTAAGTGTATGATAATTACAGAGTACCACATAAGGTATCTTGATATGTGGCGCGATAACCGTAAAGTTGTGTTATTAAAGATAATTCATTGCGTTCATATAGAATTTGCAATGACAGTCCGGGTTGTGAAAGACTTGTTGACTATACTCGTACAAAATTACAGCTTTTTTTGGAAACAATTGGTGAATTAATGTTGTTGAAACATTCAACGTGTAGAAGAGATGACCCCAGCGCAAAATTAATCATATTTCATGTACTAACTAAGCGGAAAGAACTGAATATGCACATTTACCGTCACAGTCGGCTGAGTTTTTGGGCTATCGTAGGAAAGTGTAATTTATCAACCTTGATATAATTCGCCAAGCAGCTATATCTAATTCTGCAAGAACCACACGCTAATAGTAAAAGTGTTACGTAACAGCTCCTTCCTGTTCTTTCTTTGGAATACCTAATTGAAAGACAGTGACAGTACTCACAACGTATGGTCGCCCTATTATTGTCAAATATTTTTTTCATATTACATTTTTCAAAATCAATGATCGTTAAAAAATTTAGAGTGACACTCATCAACCACGAATACTCATTCATTCCATCCTGATTCAAGCTCCAAAAATGTCCCGTTTTATTTGAGAGCTTTTTTTCGAACAATACGCTATAAAAGTCA